AGCCATGTTCTGTACCAAAAACAAAGAGACAGAGACAAAAAAGAAAACCCACAAAACTTAAACACAACCCCAGCAGGTGTATGTTGCTGCAAAACCTACAGGCCCCCATGGGTCTGAACCACGTGTACTGTATATCTTTAGTAAGGAATAGAATTGGCTCTGTGTGTATACCTATTGCATTGACCTGAAAGCTGCTTTATCCAATCTTCAGAGAGGTGACCTCCTGCCTACTCTCCCTTCAGAGGCATGCCGCCCCAGCCAGCCACCCCCACTCTCAGCCCTTCTCCGCACTTCTATCTGAAAGGAATTTTGTCTTGTTAAACCCTAAAGAGAGTGTCCTTAATAGCAATCAGCACTTGTAAGCTTATATACTGGTGCGTTTTTGTTTTCTGTTGGGTGAGTGGGGTGCGTGGGCGTTTGTGGATTCTGAAAGAGAAAGCCGTGTGTCGTGTGCCATGACATTTCTATTGCACATTCTTTGTACTGGCTTCTTTAACAGCTATGAACATTCTTTTCCCTCCTGGGTTGTTCATCCACTGCAGTCTCTCCCTGAGCTCCTTCATCCCGTTTCCCTCTCTATTTTATGGCTACAGAGTGGTAGGGCCTGGTGCTTAGTCGACGAAGGAAGGTAGACATCCACAGTGCTGCTTGAGATTTCCGAGGGAATACTGGAGCCCTTGTGCTTGGATCTTCTCTGGTTATGAAGATGCGAGGAATCAAGAGACCCACCTGGAAGAAATATCTGGCAGCACTGCAGCTAACATCACAAAACTGAAGTGTGTTTTCTGTGTGTCCATACGTTTACAGTGCGTATGGCACACACACACCATGCATCATTTTTTAAGGGCAGATTATATATATATATATATATATATATGATGTATTAATTCAGTGGTTACCATTTGTTTGCAGGAAAAAAAGTATGAGTGAAAAATTTTATGGTTGATAAATCCAGCCAAGGAGATTACAAGGGGTTTGGATAAATTCTGGGTATAAATGCTCAGACTAAAAAAAAAAGAAACAGCAGTTTTGCACAGTGCTTTGGTCTTGCACTAGTTTTTGTTTCTCATCTGCAAAAAAAAAAAAAAGTAAAAGAAAAGGAAGAAAATGTACCTTTTATATGGAATGAGTAGACTGTATGTTTGAAAATTTAGTCACAACCTCTTTGACATATAACGACCCAACAAAAAGGTGCTGTTTAGTCCCACGGTTCAGTTTATGCCCCTGAGAAGTTTCCATTGTGTCTGCAGGGCGTCTGGCTATAGTGGTATTCTCCATGTTATTAATAATTCTGTATTCCATTTTGTTAACGCCTGGTAGATATAACCTGCTAGGAGGCTAACTTTATACTTATTTAAAGCTCTTATTTTGTGGTCATTAAAATGGCAACTTATGTGCAGCACTTTATTGCAGCAAGAAGCAGACGTAGATTGGTTGCAAAGCCCTTTGCTCATCTTTAAAAAGTAATGGATGATTTAAAAAGAAGAAAAGGAAAACAATCTTTGGCTGAATATGTTCATTGCTTGTATTTTTAAGACGACAGAATTTCCAGTATGAAACAGACTGAAAGAGCAGGAAGAAATATGCTTTGTATAATAATGGGAAGTTTGGAATATAAAAGTTTATATATTATTTATCTATTGAAGAACTGGTGTACAGGAGGAATGATGCTTTCTGACTGCGTTGCTATTTTCCATCATGCGTTATCCTAGAGTTGGGATTTTTTTTTTCATCTGTTTCACCAGGGGAAAATAAAAGCCTCCCTAATTTTCTTCCTCTAGTCAGTTTGCTTCACTGAAAGCTCCTTCTAAATTGGTACAGTTCTCCAGGAAGCCAGAAGACTGTACCGTCTGTCCACACCATGGTCCCCTCCGCCTCCATACCCACCCTCCTTCCCCCAGACCTAGCAGGTGTGCTACACTACCCTTCGCCAGTCATCCAGCCCTGGCAAACCTGTTTACACTAAGGAGGTGTCCCCAGGAGCAGGAAGGCTGAGCCAGCGCAGGCAGGAAGCTCCTGCACCCTCGGTCATTCTCCAGCAGAGACATTTGTTCTTGGCCATGTATGAAAAGTCGTTCAACCTCGCCATGTCAATGTCTCAGTAAAAGACACTATAGACAGTTATGGACAATACACTCCAAGAATACTGGGCTTATGGGTGGGTTGGTTTTTTTAAAGTCATGTCTTTATCCCCATATAATGGAGAATGTGCCACTTGGCTAATAATGTGCTTTCAAAATTACAAGTTCAGTGATGACAGGAAGAGGGCCACGGTGATCCCACAGAGGCTGGCAGAAAAGGCCAACAACACATAAGCACCAGCAGGTTAAAAACCTGAAAGGGTGGCCCTGACAGTTAGGACTACAGATTTTACAGCATGCCACGTGTGCAATATGAGGTCCTAGGCTGAAACTTTTAAGATGGAGAGGGGTGTTGGAAGGAGATGTTTACTGCTCAAATGCCATGCATTTCACTGCTTGCCACTGAACTTGTATTTGAATGACTTAGTTATGCTTAATGTAATTGGGCAACTTTTTTAGCACTTTGGAAAGAGTCATCAATCTTTCTGGTAAATTATAAAAGTTTTCTGAGTGAGAAAAGGTGTGTTTGGAGTTTGTTTGACTTTTTATATTATTATTATTGTTATTAATAAAGAAAAAAATCTACAGCATTTTTCAGACTCCACCAAGACAACATGTACCCCTGAATTTGGTTTGCAGTTTGATACTCAGGGAAGGATGTATTCCATAGATATCCTTTCCGTGTAAAACACTAACGTCTTTGAGAAATTCACCTGCCAACTAACTTCAATTCTGTTTTCACTATGCATTCTTCAATGAAAGCTAGCTTATTTTTCCATATAGTAATGCAGTTAGAGTTCTCAGCATTTTCTTCTATTGTTTTTTTAACTCCTCATGTTATGTTCAGTGATCATACTGTCAAGGTTTGTGTACATTACTGAAAATTTGTATTGTATAAAGCTTTTTGCATTACAAGGCTGTACAGGGTCATTTTGACAGTAACTGGTATATTCCTTTGCATCTTATGTTGCATTGCCAATTTCTAGTGTATCCAGTTTGGAAGTATAATATACTCTAATTAAAAAAAAAAAAGGTTGGCTATACTCTTGTTTCTTTTTCTTTCTTGGTTGCCATCCTTGACTACTTGTTAGTTTCAAAGTTTTGTTTGTCTTGCTTTGTTCTGATTTTTACTTTTCAGTGTATTTTAAATAAGTTTAGGAAATGTCCACTACTAGTTATAACGATTGCAAAATGCAAGGTTTGAACAGCCATAGTTATAATGCAAACTGTTATTACATAAGTCATTCATAGCCATTAAGGTTGAGAGCATATCTATCATTCAGTATAGTTGCAGCCTGGCTCCTTCCTGAAATTACGTAGTGACATTTAAAAATGTTCACCAGCCTTACCTTCTCCTGCTTAACATCATTTTATTGACCCCGTAGCCAAAGGGGGGGGAGGGGAGCAGATGAATAATTTCATTTATCTTAATGAAATTTGGCAACTGTCAGATTTTTAATGAGGGGGAAAATGGTATATTTTGCAACCTAAATAATAATCTATCCAAATGCAAGTAATAGTTCACCATTCAAAGGAAGGTACCAGAGAAACAAACTGAGGCCAAAAAAGATGTAAAGCACATAAGTTCAAACAATAATTTTTTAAAACCCATTTTAAAGTTCTATCCATTATAGACCTTCCCCATGAATCTGTGATGATTGATAGAAAATATAAAGCAACAAAAGAGAATGTTTTGCCTGATTCATGCATGCTTATTCATAAAATATCCTTTGCTCATTACAAAAACTTATGATCCACTTCACCCTAACATTTAAAAAGATCAAATTTACTTTTTATAAAATGAGATAATGTAGGAGAAGCCACTTTGAAAATCACCAGTCACTAATCAGACACTATTTTCCCCTTTCATTTTTCCATCCAATAGCTATTTTTTGGGTGAATGAAGCAAGTTCTCTCACTTGGTTCAAATTCCAGTTTTGTTTTGGCGTGGCTGATATTTACTGAAAATATTAAAATAAGTCAGACTTCTTTGCTTTTTGCTGGCATTACAGGCAGGAGTGGCTTCACATTTCGTATACATACTTGTTTGTCCCTTAGATTCCACATCTACCTCACATTTCCCCTGTGGATGAGAAAAACCAGAAATATAAAGAAAATAATCATCAGTTGGGTAATCATTTCCCCTGTTAATGGGCTTCCAGTGACTTTAAGGAATGGCGGGGTTGGAGCCATCCATGACAGAACAGACCACATCCTCTTCCATCCTGACTTACCTAGAGAGCGCTGCATGCAGACCTGGGCATCTCCAAGCCAGTAATGTGGCCCTTGTTTGAATTTAATCCAAGATCATACATACTTTTCCTACTGTTGTGTTAAATAAATATATTTTAAGCTAAGACTCAAGGCCACGTTTTCTATAATGTGTCTATAATTTGGTGGCCACCAAAAACTGTCCCTGGTTTTAACAGAGCTGCAGCACTGGTCACAGGGGAACAAGGAGAAATATCAAGGCTTGATGAGCACATGCATCTCCTTACCCACAGTCAGAAGCATCATCTAAGAACTCTTGCCTGCCAAAGGTCGTGCGAGGCTTGTGAACAATTTGAAGGGGAAGGCACATCTCATTAGTTGCCAAAACACAGAAATCAAGTCATCTCGGTGCTTTCAGCCCATGGGGAGGAAGGAGAACCAAGAGGAGCTCACTGCACCTAAAAGGGTAGGGAGGGAAGGAAGGGGACAGCAGCTGAATGATTTTATCTGTGGTGCTTGCAGAAGACAGAACGTAAAACTAGAATCCTTCCCAATGCACCTTAGAACCTGTGAGCAAAATCACAGGATGAAAGAATAGCCTTGGGAATTCAGACACCATTCTAAGGAGCCATCAACCACAAACATTCACGAGACCCAGCCAACATTCTTACTGGTGTCACTCTCTCAAAACAGAAGAGTCCCACACAAACTGAAGTTTATTTTGCAAATAACTACAATTAACTAAGCAAGCAAATACAAGCAAATACTAAGCAGGCCCTGGGGTAAATGAAATGAGATGACATTAAATGACTCTGGGGACCGAGGGGCCCGTTCTTCCTCTGTCCAGGGTCTGAATGGTCTCAGGTAATCAGTCAAGACCTCTTCTTTATGAAGCAGCAGATCTCCATTCATAATTCTTTCCTGATAGCTGGATCTGTAAAACAGGAAAATGCAAATCCTGCTCACATTGGTAGGAGCTGCAAGGGGAAAAGGAAAATCAATTGCTGTGTCCCTTTGGAATTCCATTTTGATAGCGTTAAGGTAACTATTAGTTAATTAGTTCTTAGTTTTCAATAGAATTTTAGACCTAGAGCAGAGAATCAACCTCAACTCACACTTCAAAATTATTTTCCTGAATGCCAGTCCCTATTGGTGGCTTCCTACCCTATTTAGTGAGAATATCTGGTTTACAGATAATGTTTTCCAATCATGAGGGACATTACCGTGGAGTCAGATCACCTGAAGCCAGGCTCGGAAGCATTTTATAAAAAGAGAAGTTGAACTTGATGATCTCTAAGACTCCTTCCCACCCTAAGAGATAATATTTAATATGCTATGATTCTATGACTCTTTCTAAACAAGCAAATGTCAGTCAACCTTTGAAAGCAAAAGCGGCACTTCAGTTTTGCTCAGTTATAGCAAAAATGGCACCTCAAAGCTTTCAAGCCACAACAGACTTAAAGGAGAAAAAAAATGGCTAAAAATGTTTTTCTGCTAACTTCAGAATTTGGGAGGTCTATAATTTTTCTCTTCTGATTAAACACTAAATCATCATGCTGGGATTGTCTTCAGTCATCTTGAGGGTAGCTTAAATACATTTTACCAAACCATGGGTACTTAATCTGGTTAGATGAGTTAGGGGGTAGCCAGATGGAGATGGAAAGGTTTTGCCCTGCCCATTTCATCTCTCTAACTCCACCCCCTCTTTTTCCCACCACTTGACTTATTCCAACCTTCTCCAGGTGACTAGTGCAATTGTGACCCCTGAGCTCTCTGCGCACCATGTTTCCAATGTTTTCTGTAAAAGAACAAATTGTTTCTTTTAAATGAAAAACATTTTAGTTTGGGTATAACGAAAGAATACACTAAATATTCTTACTCTGCCACTTGTTTAAAAAGACTCTCAGCCCAAGAACTCTAAGCACATTATGAAAACTCTCAGGCACTTTGTTGAATTGAAAGGCTCCACGTGTTTACAGAGACACAGGGAAATAACTGATCTGTCTCCATCATCAGACAAGTAAAGTCAAGAGAGCATACACTGGGCTGGGACAAGAGAAAGTTATCTAGCCATCCTCTGGCCTGAATGTAGGGCTCCACCCAAACCATCCCAGAACGGTAAGTGTCTTTCCGATCGCAAAGATTTCTAGATAGGAGATGCCATCACTTGGCTTCGGTGTTCTCTTATTTTAACTTTAACTGCAATTCCTAATTAGTCGTCCACAGACTTTTCAGTGTGTATTATAAAGGACCACCAAGCCCCCGTCCCCTTATGTCCCACTTCAAATAGAGTAGTCTGTTAGAACATTCTCCATGCAACGGGTTTGGTCAGCATTTGTAGTCTCTGCCTTTCTCTCTGTCTCTCTCTCTGTCTATCTATTTTCTGGGTTCCCCTAAAAAGCAAAACTCTGAGAAACCAATGTGTGGAACTAGAAAGAGTGAAGCAAGTAAGAAAGAAAAGCCAATCCCAGGGTGCATAGGCAAGCTAGTCACTGCTGTGAACAGCTGGGATGCAATCCCCTGGGAACCCTCATGAGGAGCTGTGTACATGTGTCTCAGTATTGACAGCCCAAGGGATAGAAGACAGAAGGGGCTAGAGCAGACCCAGGGAGTGTTAACTCTCTTGCACTTCCAGGTTTGCCCATGATTCAGAGTGGTTGAGTAGGTTCCCACAGGCAGCCACAAAGGTGGCAAAGAAGCCCAAAGTGCAGAAAGCAAAAGACGCTTGGTGAAGCTGAGGTGAGGTGCTGTCAATTACACCTGACCATAGTTGGTTGCTACAGCAAGGAGTGGAGTAAGAAAGTGAGTTTGTGAGATGGGGAACAATAGGTATCCAATAAAATTATCATATTTGGCATGAAGGTTGCTATCACTTTAGCCTCTAAACCAATGTTGGCTACACATCCAATCTTTGCGTTAGCTCAAAGCTCTTCTCCTTTCCCCCAGCAGGAGTTGGGCAGAGCCAAGGACGGTGTTGGGTCATGATGCTAAGGAATGGAAGAGGTGGCACATGAGAAGCAGGCAAAGGCTCTCATCTATATGGCAGTCTCCTTAGAGTCCTCCCTTCTTTGGGGCTTGCTTTTTGATTTCTCTAATGGAATTGAGCTCTTCTAGGACTCCATTGGGGGAAGTCACTTGACAGGGACATGGGCTGCCTCCCACCTCAGAGAGCCTCCTTGATCTGGGAAAGCCACAGGAGAGCCCAAATGAGGCCAAGGGAGAAGAGCCATCCCCTAGGCTTCTGAGGCCAACCTCAAGCCAAAGCAAAAGGCATCCTGGTGGCTCTCATAGGTCCCAATTTACCATGAATGGGGATCCAACAAAGGGGTTGTTGGCTGGAAATAAAATGGTTATATTTACCTGCCATTTTCTCTGTATATATATCTCCTTCAGGAACCTAGGGCTGGACAGGGAGGTATCTGTCCTCATGGAAAACACCTGATTGAAAATTGAAATATTCAGGATATGGGTCATCTCTGTTTCTTCCCATCTCTAACCCACAACTAGCAGTCCTTTTACTAATGGAAGATTGGACTAAGCATGGAATAATGGGTGGTTACATAGATACATAGAACATATATATATGGGCCGGCCCCGTGGTTTAGTGGTTAAGTGCGCGCGCTCTGCTGCTGGCGGCCCGGGTTCGGATCCCGGGCGTGCGCTGACGCACCACTTCTCCGGCCATGCTGAGGCCGAGTCCCACATACAGCAACTAGAAGGATGTGCAACTATGACATACAACTATCTACTGGGGCTTTGGGGGGAAAAATAAATAAATTAAAAAAAAAAAAAAGAACATATATATGAAGAATGTATAGAGTACATACATAAAATAAATATTAACATAATAGATATGTATATGTGTGAGAGCATCCAGAAGGAAGGCCATAAATTTTATTATTCTGGGATTCACAATATTAAAAGATAATATTTTTCATATTTCCCTTGTGCTGCTGAAAATAAATACAGGTTGATGAAAGAGTAACATATGAAAATAATTAAGGGTCAAAGAAATCTCATTAATCAGAATATCTCCTTGCCCATCACTTCCACAATTAAATAAATGGGCATAGCAATGGGTCACCACCACACTATCAGTCAGGGTCCCATCTTTTTATGGCATCAGACAACAGACACAGCAGCAACAAGAGCTAAATACGCAGAAGTCTTGTATCTTTTTTAATGGGCAGAATAATAATTTCCTGCTGATGAAGGACTTTACAATTTGGCTTGTCTGCCTGTGAGTAAGGCTAACTAGTGTACACGCATGGTTTTGTGTCACAGGATCCTGTCTTTAAATACGAGCCCCTCACATTACCCATAATCCATTGCCTCTCTCATTATGATTCTCCACACCTGTTCTTTATAACCCAAAGTTTCCATCCCAGTTGGCCATATTCTAAAGCAAGTCTAAGCCTATCCTACCAATCACTGCTCCCCTCACAGACTCCCTTCCACTCCAACCTTGTCCAATTTCTCTCTCTCCTTTTCATTCACTATTTAATGAGCAACAAATACGTGGAAAGTCATGTGCTAGCAGCTGGTAAGAAATGGAGATAAGTAAGATATATTTCCTAGCTCTAAGGAGTTTACCATCCAATTGAAGAAATACATGTTTGAGCAAATGCATTATAATACTGGAAAAATACACATAAATTGCTGTGGAAATACTGAATAAAGAGCCACCAATTCCAACCAGGGTGAGAGGAGGCTCTACGGGGGATGTAGCATGCAAACTACAATCTAAAGGATGAGTAGGATTTTCATAGACAGAAAAAAGTGGGAAGGGCATTCCAGATTGAGATAACAGCTTGAGAAAAGTCAAGAAGGTGAGAAATTGCCTTGTGGGTTCTGTTGTGCTAGGAGATAATGAAACCAAACAAAGCCAGCTTGTGTAGGGCTTTGAGTCCCTTGTTAAGGAGACTGAACGTCTAAACTACTCTGTAGTTAATAAGAGCTAAGAAAAAATTTTGAGGAGGAGAATGGCATGTGACCAGTTTTAGGAAGATAATTCTAGCAGTGTTACAAAAGGAAGACTCAAAAGACAAAAAACATCCTAAACCAAAGCCATCATCCTCTCCCTCACATCCGCCCCTTAACCATGTATTCCTTAGCCCCATAAGGGCACACCCATCCTCCAAGTCACACAAGCTACAAAACTTGGGGTCAATTTTGCCTCCTTCTTTCTCTCCTCCTCCTTTTCTCTATCTCTCCTCCCTATCTTTGGACAGCTAATCCATCAGAATCCTGTTTATTTTATCTGCCATGTATGTTATGAATCTATCCTGTCCTTCCACTCTTAACAACCTGGTGCAGGTCCTTTGCGTTCTTGCCAGGTGTTTTGCAATAGTTTCCTGTCTGAATAGGATATTCTTGTGTAGAAAAGACTGAAAAATTCATTCCAGAGCTCAGAAGAAATTTCATGATCAGACTTGGAGACACAAAGACAATATTTGGAGCCAGCGGAGAGGGTGATAACATCATGGTAGCATCAACAACAAAGGCACCAAAGATAGACTCTTGGAAGATACCAACTTTAATGGAGACAGAGGAGGAGGCAACATGGGAGACAAGAAGAAATAACCATAGAAGTCTTAGATAAGCATAACACTGTTAGAGAAGCCAAGGTTAGAGAGACTTTTACATGAACTTGGACAGAAGGATGAGCAGGGTGAGGCTGAATCTCACAGCCTTTACCAATTTGACGGTACTTGGTGATCTCTAAGGATGCAGTTTCAGTGACAGGTTGGCGTGGAAACCAAATTCCAATAGGTTAAAGAATGAATTGATGGTGAGGAGCTGGTGACAAGGAGAAAAGCCTGCTCTTGTATTAAGTTTGGTATTCAAAGAAAAAAAAAATCATGCACACCTAGTACTTGCCAAAAGATGCCAAACCTTCCCTTCCCTCTCAGGGAAATCTAACCTTTTCCCATTCCCTGCTTCATATTCCTTCAAAGAGGAGAAGCACAATCTGCTG